AATTTAGCCTTAAACGATTTAACGGACTTCTCTGTTTTTAAAGACCGGGGTAAACTGTTCCAATCTTTAATAGTTCTGACGGCGAAAGTGCGTCCTCCTTCAGAGGCGTTTCTGTGAGAGGGGCATAACCAACTGATTCAAACTTACAGTGTCGGATCTGGGGGAGGGGCCCGGGGGACCTGCCCCCCTTATTGTTGGTAAAAACAAAAAAGAAATTGCAGAAAGAAGAAAAGTCGGCAGTGCAAGCAAAAAAAAAAAAAACACCACCCCCACCCCCCTTAGTTCAAGGTCTGGATCCGCTACTGGCTTAAGCATCCATCATCAAGTTATGATACACATAGGGTGGTTTAAGAGTTGCTAATTAAAATCCATTGACTCCTGGAGCTTTTTACCAAAAATGCATTTTTTGGACATTTTGGAGATTTTCAGGCTGGATATGGGTCAAATTAGCCCCAATCTTCTCAAAAAGGCATTTGCAACATGACAGCATGCCTTCTTTCCACTAGGATCGCGTTTTACAACATTTTTGCTCAGGCATGCACAGAAATCAAAATGTCTTTAGGCTTTTCGATTTTTTAATTTTTTTTTTCGCTTTCCCTTTTTCTCCTTTTCTTTTCTTTTTGCTGCAGTGATTGACTTTCTACTGGGCTTGCTTCCAGTTTAAAACATTCTGAGAAGGCATCATTGAGACAGGCAACTTTTGCCATGGTGTAGCCACATGTAGTGCCAGGAAATTTTGCTCTGAGTTTTTCACTCAACTTTTTGAGCATTTTTGTGCAAATCTCAGGCTCCATTGGGCCGATCACTCTGATCTGGGTATCATTGAAACGATCTTTTCCCCCTGCAGAAGTTGAGCATAGATGATGCCAATTTGGGTCAAAGGTGATGATGTCAGAAGTGGAAGAAAGGCCAAGGCTTGTCACGGCTAGTTACGGCCGGCACAGGAGTCAATGGGTTAAGGTGCAGCTGAGAGCAACGTTAGCTTCTTGACTGCTCTCAGTGTGCATCGTAACTCAAGATGATACATAGGTTAGCTTTTCTCTGACACGCCATGAAGGTGCATCTCATTGGCCAACAATGCACCGTCATGTATTCTGACTCTTATTGCCTACCTTTGCTAGCTATGTTGTAAAGCATCTTAGCCAATCAAAGAGCAAAGGACAACTGGAGACACAATTTATTTGTTGTCACTTTGCATTGACTACCTTCCAAACTTATTCGGTTTTTGATTGGCATACATGTGTAGCTCAAAATTATGTCATTGTGTAAACCAGCAATAAGGAGACAAAAAAAGTTATTGTTTCTTCAAGAATGAGCCTGCATAACAGGTGTAGAACAGGTTGGGGGAGTGAGGAAGGGATTGGAAGAAATTTTGTCAGTTGCCTCCCCTACCATGTCAAAATGATGACCTGAAAAACTTACATTCAATGTCTTGTTTTCTCCTGAAGAGACTATGAACCAGTTTCCTTCAACTGCCTCGGCCATTGGTGGCAGAAAGTAAGGACGTCTATAATATTGGCGGAACACTTTGGCTGACTCCTTCTCACAGTTGTCCCTATTAGAAAACACAAACTGTTCAAGGCCATGTGTCATACATGTATTTCAGAACAGACTGTAATAATCATTGGTTCTAATCTAGAATGTGTTGTTACAGAAAATATCCAATACTCCTCCCATGAAGGGATTTTTGGTTTGAACCTCCTCCCATCCTTCTAGAAATTCCAGTTTTGGTTCCTAACTTTCCTTTAAAATGTTTGGCTTTTGAGACTTCCAATAACCCTCCCTCAGGTGGGCATGGATATTTTCTGGGACCACATAAGATATTTTTTTGTTTCCAAGGATGTTTACCAGAAAGCCTGAAAGTTTGGTTGTTCCCCACTCTTGGCAGCTGCCAGTAAAAGCTGTGGACTGCTAAACTCTGGTGTGGTGCTCTCAAACTGACATTCCTTGCCGGAATGTCTCAGTACTTCATTCTTCTCATACATCTGGCAACAAATGAGATGTTTAGTTGAAATCACGAGCATCAGAGTCCTAGAGGAGCTTTTGTAGCGCTATTCAAACTTTCTGACATAAAAATACTTTGATTCCAAGAATTTTACTATTGATAAATGCTTAGTCAGAGTCATTGCCAGTTAGCCTGAACAGTAGTAACTCTAGCTGCAAGCTTCATCACATTTAGTTGAAACATATGCAAATGTTTCAAATTACAATGATCACAGCAACTAGTAAAAACTTGCCAACACCCCCTGTCGGCCTTTCGATGTTGGAAAATTGCAAAATGCATTTACGTGTCCATTCAAAGTGTTTTGTCATTATTGCAGAGGGAAGGAGAGAGGCAGAATGTTTGACAATTGAAGAGCTGCGACAATATTTTGTGACAAGGCTTTAGGCTTGTTTTCTGCTGGTCTCTTGAGGCTTGTCTACTATTTTGGGCTCCCTTCCTGAACAGTGCCTGGTAATTGAACCTATCCCACTTAAGGTGGTACCTTTTAGGGGTCAAATAAAGCTTGCGCCACACCCAGATTGGTCTCCTTTAGGGGTTCAGGAGTCAGACTTGGATTTAACCAATCAATAAACTCAGAAATCGCTACTAATCAACATCATTATTAGGATGGAGGCAGAAGTGTGTTAATTTGTTAAAAAACGGAAAATGTATTGTTCCAGAAATTATATATATATATATATATATATATATATATATATAAAATGGTTATAAAATGCCTCAAGCCAACAAAGAATGCCACTGCGTCAGGAGGATCAATGAAGATTCACAGTCCAAGCCTCACCGCAAAAATGAATTTAAAAAC